GGGGAACTAAAGCAGTTTTAATGCTCTCTTCAAAGCCACCAGACTCCTTTGACAAAAACAGTTATTTCACCTAGCAGAATAACGGATTTGCTGGTCTACATCTGCCGAGATCCGTAGCAATTAATCCTAATTCTTATCAGAACTAAATGCAATAAAACCAAACCAAAGTCACACAATATCACCAACAAACTCACTCCCATGTACTGCAAAGTTAAATGACTAAAAGTTTTTGTCAAAGGAGTCTGGTGGCTTTGAAGAGAGAATAGATGGATATAACAGTTTGAGGTTCCTGTTGGAAAGGGCCATCTGACAGCAAGGTAAAGCTGTGAAATTATGCTAAATATTGCATATATTTAAAATGATATTGACTTTGTTAAGATGGGCCTTTTTTAGGTGGATAAAACACATTTTGTTGCGGCCCAGTCCGCAGCAGTGCATTGCTTAGCTTCCATGCTGGTACTCCTGTCTGCTTCTACAAACTGGGGGCGTGCTGATTATGGATAAGTACTTAAAAAATCAGAACTATCTCTTAAAATTGTTTCTGCAGCTTTCAAGATGTTTACTGATTTTTCCATTTTTTTCTTTTCCTGCTCAGGTCCAACACATTGTGACAGAAACCAGAGACAAGATCATGCAGTACAAGAGTAAGATGGTGGACGAGGCAGACCTGAGGCGGCGGCTGGCCAGTCTGGAAGAATCTGTCGAACTCCACGAACACATGAAGAGACAGGTCATTCACCGCTGCCGGGCACCATGGGGGCTTCATTCAGTTTGCTTGTGTTCAGTGTGGCTTAGTATGTTTGCAGAGCTTCACACATGCATAAATCCTACAGACATTCTCTTTCTTACGTCACTATTTCATGTCATGTTGTGCATGCAGCAGCCTTTAATGGATTGAATTAAATCTGAATGGAGCTGCAAGGAATCTAATAATCTTGTGATATGATATAGCAGTAACTACATGAGATTGCAGCTGTACATTAGTGGGATGTACTGCAGTTGAAATAGAAATAATAATGTAATGCAGCTGTTGTAATGTTTCTCACTCTCAGGCTTTAGCAGAGTTTGAGATGTACAGACAGAGAATGGAGGATTCCCAGCTCTGCACTGAGGCCCAACACACGCAGAGAGTGGTTTCTATGAGCAGAGAGGTAAGGCTTTACACACACACACACACACACACACACAGATACACACACACACAGACTCAGAACAATAACAACATGGCCTGTTAAAAAACTGTTATCCTGTTTTTGTACCGGGAGACTTCCCTGGCCCTTTTTATGAATTTTTTCATAAAATATTGTCTACTAAACTCAAATTTTAGTTGTATATTAACCATTGTGAGAGTGCTTCACTCTGAAATGACTGTTGTAGACTTGTTAGATATGCTAGCTTTATCTGTGTTACCCTTTTGAATTTGATAAACTGTAGTAGAATGGTAGCGAAACGTTGCAGTGGCGATCATAAACACAACACACAACACTATTAGGCTGCCACTGGAGCATCTCACAGCGATTTAGCAAATGCTACTCTTCCCTTGTACGGAGAAGAGCCACGTATGTTTAGGTAGCAGTAAAAACGAAGGCAAAATTTGACATGAAAGTAGTCGCATAAACGAATATTTTTTTTATAATTCAGTGACTATTTAAAAATAAAAAAATTAAATTAAAATATTAATACTGTCACTTAAAAGCATTAAATGCAAACTGCCATCAAAGCACATAAAAAAACTAGCCTTTAAGATCTATGTGCTATAAGTCAATCACCATAGCAGCTTCCACCCTTTGGAGTACACAACATGACGTCAGTCACGAGCTACATGTGTTACATCTCAACAAACAGTCCACAGGCGGCCCACGATGGAGAGGCACTCAGCACTGTATGACAAAACGTTAACATTGTTGTGTTTTCGTTGCCTTAGAATGAGCTGTTTTTATCTACAGAGGAGCAGGTCCTCTACGGAGTCTGCCATGTTCAACCATTTTTCTACAATAGAAGAAGTAATAGAAGTAGAACAGACAAACCAAACACTGGCACTAGATAGGGCTGGTTTTGTTTTTCACATGTTTCGCGGCCACCATAGTTTCTCCTTTGAGTTTGGAGGGGGTGGGTGAAGCAAGGAAGTTGCAAACTGCAACTACACTGCTAGATTTCACAAAATCCTACACACTGGTCCTATAAAATTATTACCTGTGTGCCTTGATACATTAAGTTTTTCTGTTTTTAAAAAGATTAAAAATGATCAATAATTGTTAAAATCAGCTAACATTTTATCTTGAAAACTTTGCCCAGCCCTATGTTCTGATCAGATCTCCACTGTAAAGCACCAGCAGCATATTTTAGATGTGATGGCTATACAGTAATCCAATAGGCAGAAATTATATAAAGTTATAATAAAACCATGTAAATGTAAAAAGATAACCAAATATCAATCCAATATGATAACTTGCATCATATTCTTATCATGTCATGTATCATATCATACCATCATGTGACCCAGTATCATATTTGTCTGCTTTTGCTTTGTCTGATGGCAGTGGGCATAAATGAACACCTGAAGTGTGTTTAGATGTGATGAGCTGGCGGCTGAACGAGCTCAGTTCATCATCTGTTCATCTATGTTGGGATCGGTGTACGTCAGCGTTGCTCTTGTCCCGCGTCCTCCTCTCCGCCACCGCCCTCACACTGTCCACCTTCAGCTCGACCAAAGAGACGCCTTCTGTAGCGACCCGAATGAGTCTGCTGACATCACATCACATGACATCACGTTACATTTTTGTATATTTTTTCGACCTCATGTCTGTCAGGTCTGCTGATGTCACAGCAAACACGGACAAGTTTCAACACGTCGGGGTGTAGAGAAGCTGCAAGCATTGAGAGAAATAACACTGACAGCATAACATTTAGCACTTTTTCAATTATTACAGTGGGATATTTTAGAGATGCTGTGAGCGTTTAGCTTGGCGCAGGTAGAGACTGAGTTGGCAGTGACACATGAACGGTTCAAACGGAATAGAACATCTTTCGTGGTCTCAATAGGTGGAGGAGATGCGTCGGGATTTTGAGGAGAAGCTGCGGGCGTTCAGCCAGGCTCAGGCCCAGTTTGAGGCGGATAAGCGTCGAGCGCTGGAGGAGCTGAGGGCCACCCACCGCCAGGAGGTGGAGGAACTCCTCAACAACCAGCAGAACCAGAGTGCCACCTCCAACGAAGACCAGGAGAAACTGGCCGAACTCCATAGACAAGAGGTGGGCTAAAGAGACAGAGAGGAAGGAAGATAGATGGGAGTTTTGTGTAGAGTTTATACAGCAAGTTACTTGATGGGGTAATTGCTGTTTTGGCGGCTTATAAGGTGTTTGTGGCATTCATTTCTTTTTAAAAATAAGGCTATTTAGTTGGTGCAGTTGGCTGATGAGTATAATATAAACCGGAAGTGGTAATAATCGAGCCATGGACCTTTGTTGCATGTCATTCCCTTGTTTTATTCCCATTTTTTTCCTTTCCTCTCAACAGTTAACTGTGCATTATAACAGATTTCCTAAAGACTAATCTTTTAAAAAGCAGATAAGATGGTAAATATGAACAATATGAAGATTTCTGTATGTATTTTAGCAACTAACATTTAAATCTTAGGGAAAAAAACAAAGACTTGTTCTTCATTTATCCACCTCTCTGTGCAGGTGGAGGCACTGATGGAGAGGGTGGAGGAGCTTACGAAGGATAAGGTCCGTCTGGTGGAGGAGTTTGAGGCCAAGCTGGGCAAAGCTCAGGAGTATTACGAGAGGGAGCTGGAGGCCATGAGGAGAACACACCAGCTCACCACCGAGAACCTGCTGGCCTGGAAGAGGACAGAGGTAAAACGATGACACAGACGCACAGAACAAGCAAATGTCAAATGGCTGTTAAAGGAATTCTGCACAGTTTCACATCACAACCTTAACTTCATTAGTTAAATTACAGGACTGATGATCGGTACAAAGCCACCAGGATATATCTTTATTCTTGATACTCACAAGGCAACATAATGTTTTTTTTTCCAGCCCTATTTAATGTCTTTAATGTCACAATTCTCTACTCATGTAAAGGTTGAGCTTCGTAAGGAGTTCCAGGCTCAGGAGGCAGCGCTGCAGCGCTCGCTCTCCAAGCTGAGGAGCGAGCTTCAGAAAGCACAGGAGGAGGCCAGAGAGAACCGAGACAAGACCAACAGACTGCAGACATCGCTGGCCAACGCCGAGGGAACTATCAAGGTGTGTGTGTGTGTGTGTGTGTGTGTGTGTGTGTGTATTGATGGACACATAGATCTTCTTTGAAGACAAACCAAGAACAAACACTCCCAATGAATACTGAAAGACCAAAAATAATCATAATGTAATGAAAATAGTGCTAAGCCATGGCGACTACTGCTGATCATATGAACTACCCGTTTCTTCTTGAATTTACAGTGTTCCCAACAAAGCACAAATAGTATGAGTGTCTTCCTTTGGTTCAATTTGGGTAGGAAAGTGGACTAAATTGGATGAAAAAACAGTTGCAGAAAACCAAGACAAAAGTAAAAGCCTCAGGGCAAAAACGTTTTTCAAGAATCATAGAGTGGTGGGAAATCAAATGTAGTGTGAGGCAAACCTATAGAGTGTGAATAACTGGTTAGGTTTATGTGACTCTAGGCTGCAGTGGGGGAGATGTGATTGGCTTTCAAAATACTGTGGTATAATTGTGGGGACATCTGTGTGTTTGTGCGCCTGCTGCAGAACCTGCACAAGCAGCTGGAAGAAGCCATCCAGGACGGAGAGATCTGGGTAATGCAGCTGAAAGACACCGAGTACGAACTAGAGGGCAGCAGGGAACGAGTTCAACAGCAGGCAACTGAAATCCTCCATAAAGCCAGTAAGATGTGCTTCCTGTCATTATATAGAGTACTGTTCACAAATGTTTTATGCATCTGTTAAAGGGAAATTTAAATACAATTTTTTGTCACCACCTCATTGTAGAGATTCAGGAAACATAATCTCAGGTAAGAACAATGTCAACAGGGGCAAATAGTGCCGCCCCCCTATAGCGTTTAAATAAATCTTACATTTTACACAAATTCAGTAGTCCCTTAAAAAACTCATTTAGCTGTTATAACTGCAGCATACGGAAACCACTTCCAGCTAGGCATGGGACCATGTGTAAATTTCATGTGATGATTATCTTGGCCAAAGTAATTGCGATAATCAAGAACTTAATACTATCCTTAAAAAATACTGGAATTAGTTTACCTTACATTTGTTAAGAAGCACACATATACATCTACATATATACACCTCATCTCCTTGTTCCTCATTGTGGAATCTATACTCTTTCCAGACATCCAGTTTAACGTTTTGTATGTGAGGGATACAACAGGCAAGCCAAGCCTTCAGCTATTGTGACAGGTTTAGGATTTTGTAATGAAAGATGTCCCCCACGTGTGAAGGAACACTAAAAAGACTAAAAGTCAGTTTTATGAATCCATACTGTACATACATATGGTTCCATTCTGTTAGTCTTAGTCATTGTGAAACTGGGTACAAAGGCAAGAGTAGTTCAATTACCCAACTGCGTATCAATACTTCGTCTGCTCCACCACACTTTCGAAAAAGCGCAATTTCATGGATTGTGCCAGCCAACAACGTCAAAGCAGCCATCATTATGTTCAACCATTAACTGCTGTGGATATTTATAGTTCATATATAACACATTTGTCACATGTACCTGCAAACCCTCATCAGCAGCGATCAATCATCATCATCCATGGTTAAGTTTATGGCGTTCATATGGATGCAGACTTTACAGGATGCTTCACATTAAAGGATACCATGAAAAGGAAGAAGTAGCGGGGCGGCTGTGGCTCAGAGAAGGAGCAGGTCGTCCACTAATCGGAAGGTTGTTGGTTTGATCCCCGGCTCCTCCTGCCACATGCTCAAGTGTCCTTGAGCAAGATACTGAACCCCAAATTGCTC